GAGAGGAGAGGGGGAGGGAAGAGTCATCATTCATTCATAATTAGTATGTCATTCTGATAGGTTAAAAATAGTACATCCATAAAATGATAGCCATACTGTCATTTTTTGTTTGTTTTTGTTGGGTTGGGGTTTTTTTGTTTGTTTGTTGTTGTTTTTTTTTGGGGGGGGGGGGTTGACATAGGCAGGTAACAATGACAGGAATAGAGGACTTACCAGCAGCATAATCAAACCACCCACAATCATGAACATGCACGCTGTGGAGGAACCTTCCCTTCCACTCTTCCATTGAGAGGACAGATCGCACACTCTTTCAAATGTGGGAAAGGGAGAGAGAAGGATATGGAGATAGACAGAGAGGGAGATACACAGCAAGAAAGAGTGAGAGAGAGAGAGAGAGAGAGAAAGAAAAAGAGCATTAAAAAATAATGGGATATAAAACGCGTCACCCAAAAATCACAGCAGACACACACAACTCACAGAGGAAAGCCTCGCCGCCTGGGACAATCTGCTCGGGGGAACACGGCGTGTCGTCTGCCGTGTAGACCGTGCCCCCCGACATCTGCTTCTGGAACACATTGCTCACCTGTGGACACACGCGTTGGTTTTTTTAGTTTGGTAAGGTTTTGCGGCACTCACAACTGCATAAAAGGTCATATGAGCGCAAAGGGGTGGATGTCAACAGAGAAGTCTTTACAGGGAATCAGGCTTTCTCTGCTCACCTCTCTAGCTTCACAAGCATAAAGTCTACTTCTACTATCAAGGCACCCCGGAAATAGCGGGTCACAAGAAAGTGACAAACATACAAAAAAAGTAGAGGAAAATGACAACAGTAAGGATTAGGAAAGAAAAAGCAGTAGTTCCCTGTTGCAGTTCAAACACAGTTATGAGCATTACATTGATGAATTAGCCCATTTACAATTTTACTGTGCATAAGAACAGGTTAATGTCCCCCCTTTGGGAATGACCTAAAAACACTTCAGTCAGTAGCACTGCCCTGTGGACATACGCGTCAGAGGAAAAGACTTGAGTTTGAGACAAAGCGAAGCACATCAACACAATAGCAGGTATTTGGGTTATTAAAAAAGTGAGATAAAAAGAGAATGAGAGAGAGGAGGCAGGGGAGAAGGAAAGAGAGTGTGTGTGTGAGAGGGGAAAAAGAAAGAGAGAGTGAAAGAGAGAGAGAAAAAGAGAGAGAGAGAAAGAGTGAGAAAAAGAGTGAGAAAAAGAGAGAGAGAAAGAAAGGGGAAAAGGAAAGAGAGAGACAGAAAGAGAGACAGATAGACAGACAGATAGGCAGACAGATAGAAAGAGAGACAAAAAGAAAAAAGAGAAGAATAAAAAAGAAAGAAAAAAAAAACACCTCCCACTAACCTTTCTGGTGACCACTAGCGGGGGCATCTCGTTCGCGGGCTGGTTCAGATTATTCCCGACAAACTCTGGCAGAGTCATGTCCCCTGCCTGCGGCCGCACGAACTTGAGCGGTTCGTGGTACATCTCCTGCATGTCCATCTCGCGCTTGGCCAAGGTCGCTTGGCCCGGGCCGGCCTGCTGGAAGTTGGAGTAGTCCGGGAAATTCTTGGGCATCACGGGATAGAACTCCTGCTGCTGCTCCGCGTACTTGTTCACTGGGCACCGCGACGGACGAGGTGAGATGGGGGGGTAGAGTGAGATAGATAGATTTTGTTGTTAAGATGAGATAAGATGAGGTGAAGTGAGGTGAGGTGAGATACAATAAATTAAGTTACGATAAGGTGAGAAGAGGTGAGGTAGGGTGGGATGAGAAAATAAATTAAGTTGCTCAGATGAGAAGGGATGAGGTGAGATGAGACGAAGTGGGATTGGGTGAGGTAGGGTAAGACAAGATAGATTTAGTTGTTGAGATGAGATGAGATGAGATGAAGCGAGATGGGGAGAGGTGTGATAAATTAAGTAGTTAAGATGAGATGAGATGAGACAAGATGAGACGAAGTGAGGTGAGGTGAGGTGAGATACAATAAATTAAATTACGATAAGATAAGGAAAGGTCAGGTGAATTACGATAAGAATTTATAGACCTCTATAAAGAGAAATTTGCTATGGCACGGTAAATACATACAACTATATGCACTCGTCAACATACACAAACACACACTCTTTCTCTCTCACATACTCACACACACACACATTCTCACAACACTTACAAGCACGCACAGATGGAAAAGCTGCAGTGGGCTTTCGAGAGTCTATTTCTACCTGACAACCTGTAAAAAGCAACACAACACTGAAAGAATAATAATCCCTCTCCCCCACCCCCCCACCCCCCGAAAAATTTCTTCATATCCCATTCAAGGACTCACCACAAGGGATGTAACCCTGTGCGTTGACGTACTGGAACCCGCCAGACGTATAGCCCTGAGCGGGCACGCCCAGCGACGGGCCTCGCTCGTTCAGTTTGCTCCCATGCCCATCCTGCTTCAGCGCCGCTTCCTCTGTGGTCTGTGTGGGAGCGGGAGAGACACAAGAAAAAAGAAGTTAATTTCTTCGTTTTATTAAGGGTTTTTTGTTGATTGAGACAATTAATAGTTATTATAATTATTGCTGATTGAGACAATTAATTATTATTATTTTTATTATTATTATCTATTATT